GCACAGGCCATGTAGTAGGCAGGTTGCCCCAGCACCATATAGTCAGTAGTGTGCCATGCCGAAGTTGGACAGACCTGGGATAATTATTTAATACATTGCTTTAAATGATGTCCACAGATGAGCAGATAGAAAATGTTAAAAAATGTTATTATATCTATGGTGAAGTGCCTGAAACAATGAATGTAGCTAAAATAATGTGCCCACGAACCGACTGCAGCCACAAAATGCCACAACTGTGAGTATGGACACGGCCATTTAAAAAAGGTGCAAACAGGTAAATTATGTGAAAATCAGAAGATTTGGCACCCAATTATCCAATTTGTAAATGTAAGCAGAGAGATTTACATGTGGAAATTCAGCAAGCTAATTATTTGTTTTGTACCCCCTAACTGATTTGTACCATATACAAGTGAATAGGAAAGAAAAAGGGTTAATTAGTTATCCTGTAAATACCCCTCTACCATTATTTTGCTTTTCAGTAGTAGTTGCATTGTGACTCCAAGAATCATCAAACAATAGCCTTTATGAGTTAATCATTAAAAGATGCACAGTGTACATGATATTCCACTTATGTAATTCTAAATATTACCTTTCTGAGTGATAGCTCCACATTTGTGTCCGCACTGAAATTATATTTGGCAACAGCTTCTCCAATCTCTCCAATCTGTGCTGGGGGAGGTGGCCTGGCAGGCTGTGCTTTTTCTGGGGGTGAAAGTTTCTGAAAGAACATATATATTTTCATTATGTCGTTGTTTATTGTGGAACTATTTTAAAAAATAATGTGATAAATGAAAATAGAAGAACAAACCTCAACATAAGAAATTGGGAAAATTCCAACTCTTCCATGATGCTCTCCTTCATACCAGTTTTGATCAATTTTCCTGAGGATATAAACAGTATCTCCTTTCTTAAAGGACAGCTCCCTGTAACAGATTTATCTTAGTCAGATGTTTACAGATTTGCAGCTAAGCTGTGCTGTTTCCACAGTTCATGGTTAGATTGTGGTCCACAATCACAATGAGATTCAACAAGGACAAGTGTGAAGTCCTGCACTTGGGACAGAATAATTGCATGACTGGGGAATGACTGGCTAGGCTGCAGTACTATAGAGAAGGTCTGGGACATTACAGTAGAGCATAAGCTGAATATCAGCCAACAGTTTGCTCTTGTTGTTGGAAAAAAAAATGCAAGAGCATACTGAGTTGTATTAACAGGAGTGTCACTTGCAAATCAACGGAAGTATTTCTTTCTCTCTATTCATCCCTAGTGATGCCTCACCTGGAGTAATGTGTCTAGTTTTGGGTTACACGCTTCAAGAAGGATGTGGGTAGTTTGGAAAAATTCCAGCACAGAGCAACAAAAAATGATTAGGGGTGTGGGCACCATGATTTACAAGGAAAGGCTAAGAGAGCTGGAGTTATTTGGTTCAGAGAAGAGAAGACTGGGGGGAGGCGGTTGATAAGAGTCTTCAAATATGCAAAGGATGAGTAGAGAGAGGATGGGGATAAGCTGTGGCAGTCATGAACACAAGTAGGAGCAATGGTCTCAAGCATCAGGAGAGGAAATTTAGATTGGATATTAGGAAGAGGTTTCTGACTATGAGGGTAGTTGCACATTGGAACCGGCTACCTAGAGAAATTGTGGAAATTTTCAAGAGCAGGTTCAACAGATGCTTGGGTGGGATGGTTTAGTTGGTTTAATTCTGCTTTGAGCAGGAGCTGGACTACATGACCTTGTGAGGTCCCTTCCAGCCCTACTTTCCTATGATCCTATGAGCTCTTGACACTTATTTCAGATCTGAATGTAACTTTATTAACAAACAGCCCGAGAAGCAGCATCATAGCCATCTTGCATTTCCTGGTATCATTTGCAATGATGGATTGTTGCAAGTTGTAAAATTTGGACCCAAAATCCAATTTCAATCTGAAGTTTGGTATATCTGGAGTGTGGCATCTAACTTGGGTCCAGAAAAAAGAAGAGACTGTTGTGGACCACAATTTCAAGGCGATAGTATTTATTAGTATAGGTTTGCATGAAAGCTTTGTGTCTTTATATCCTGTGTGGATGCTACTTTAGCAGCATGTCTATGGATAAATAGGAGAGACACTTGGGTCATGTCTACCCTGCCTTAGAGCTACATTTGTGTGTGGCACAATGAAGCATGCCTTGTCCTTAGGCTCTCGCTCTACTCTTGAAATTTAGGCAATATAACTACCTTACTGTGGGGCTGAACCTTTGTCCAGCAAGGGCAGGAGAAACCAGAAGTATACATATGTTTAGGATTTTTCTTCCCGAGTAAAAATAGCCACTCCAGAAAAAACAAAGAAACCTGGAAATAACCGGGATTAAATCATTTCTAGGAGAGTTTCTCCTGGTAGAGTGAATTTCTGTACACATTTTCTTTTGAGAGAAGCAACAGCACAGTTGTCTAGAGTCCAACACACTTTTGTTTCTCCCAAAACCAACTTCCTAGGAGACAGTGTCATGTACTGGACTCTGCTGCTCCAGCTAAGCAGGGAGCAGAACCCCCTCCCCCTCCCAGCCCTTTCAAAATTTCCACTTTTGGCTGTGGGGACACAGGCTGACTGCAGTCATTCTGGCTCAGTTGATCAGTGGTGCCCTGTATGCTACTGTCATATGTTTCTCGGAGGACTAAGGGAGCCTGCAGAGCATGCTAAAATGTGTGCACAAGAGACCCCTGGGGTGTGAAGTGTCACTACTGCAAGCCATTTGTTCTTCAGAGAGACAGCATTTGAATGTCTGTTCAGGCGTCTCTGAGTGAGTTTTCCTAGTAAGAGAATGAACCCAGAAAAATTCTCTCAGCTGAATGTGTGTATGCAACCCTAGGTTCTCTGCCTTGGCTGTGTTTATTGGCAAGCATACTACACTGCTCTAGGCAGCAACACTGCCTGAGCATGGACAAAGGAGGAGCAAGTGGGCAACTGGACATGGCATAGAGACAGTATAGATATGCAGCCCTTGGTGCAGCAATGCAGAGCATGTTCCTTCTCTGTCTCCAGGATCTATCTTCACGTCATTTTTAATTGTTAATGTACAGCTTAGTTATTGAGGGTAGGATGCTTTTATTTATTTATATATATATATATATATATA